GGGGTAGCCGTGGGCTCGGCTGTAGGATATGTCGTGGGCAGCGTCCTGAGCCTTCAGCAGAGGAAGTTCAGAGCCGGCCCAGCCTGCAGCCCAGCAGTCAGCCACCCGCACTGCCCCCAGCCCCTGCAGCCGGGGCCCTGCACCTAGGAGATCAGGAAGTTCCTGGACTGCTCGGCCACTGAGAGGGACCTATCCCTGTGTAAGGGCTTTGGCGAGGCCCTGGAGCAGTGCGAGTACAACCACGGTCTGACCTCCCTGCCCTGAAGAGGCCGGTGTGAGTTCATGACCCACCTCTTTGGCCATAGCCCTGTCCCTGCCTCACTGACAGCTGGACCGCAAGCCAGATTATACCCGTGTAGCCGGGATTAGGAGTATGGAGGGGGTCTTCCAGCCCACAGATAACTCGAGATACAAATGTACAATTAAAAAGAGTATATTTTAGACCATTAAAAAAAAAAGAGGGAGAATCAATGCCAAAGTTGGAACTAGAATCCATCTTTTTCTGCCTTGCTGGGTGTGTCATCATCAAAGTTGGAAGGACATAGATGGTGTTAGAAACCTCATCTTGCACAGTAGTTAATAACTAGGCCCTGGTACACCCTATCGTGGAGAAAATGTAAGCTTTGTTTACATTTTCGATTACAGTATTTAAATTTATATAGACCCTTGTTGAATACACAGCATGTTTGGAACACATGGCCTCATTGCAGCCTCAGTAATCTCTGACTAATTTTTGGTTATATTCACTGGTGGTACCTGGTGGTGTATGCTTTGGCCTCGTTCTGGTTTAAATACACTTTTTAAGCTAGCCTGAGACTCCAACCACTAACATAATAATGTAATAGAAGATGTATTCTGGGGGAACCAGCAGTTAGCGTAATGGCTATGTCGCTGGGCTCCCACGTAGCTGACCACGGTTAAAGTCCTGGACCCAGCGGCTTAAACTCACACCGGGCGCGTGTGTGTGTGTGCCCAAGATCCTGAGAGGAGAATGGAGGAGAAGGGATTGTGGCATGGCCATCCCCCCCTGGGGGGTGATTGCTCACTTTCTGTCTCTCTGTCTCTCTCTGTCTGGCGAGCGCACGCGCCCTATAGCAAAAATCTCTTCAAAAAAAAAAAATGTATTCTGAGGACAAATAGATGGTGTAATGGTTATGTTGCTGGACTCCCAGGTAGTCAGCTGTGGTTTCAGTCCCAGACTCAGCAGCTTAAACTCACGCCAGGCACATGTGCATGCATGTCCAAAATCCTGAGAGGAGAATAGAGGAGAAGGGATTGTGGCGTGGCCATCCCCTCGAGGGCGGATTCCTTGCTTTCTGTCTCTCTGTCTTTCTCTGTCTCTCTAGTGACCTCACACTCCCTAGAGCCAAAAATCTCTCCCTTAAAACAATGAATAAGTAAAAAGATATATTCCAAGTTCCAAATGAATGGCTAACGAGTGAGTGCTCAGAAGCCAAGCTGTTTGTAAAGTAAGGTACCCAGAACTGGTAGGCTCGTGCTAACAAGTGTGAGTAGACAGTGGAGGACAACTTTCTTTCTCATGTGTGTGGTTCCTGACTATGAGGGGTTATTATTAGCTGAGGACTCGGTAGTGCCCATGTGGATGATACAAAGGATTACTCCACTGGGAGCAGTTTGGAAAAAGCACAGTCCCAGGGCATTCCAGGTTACACCTAAGGTACCTGCAAGGTGGCACGTGTGTTCAGATGATGGCTCTCAAGTGTCCTCTGTTATAATGGGCCGCTAACTAAAAACGCCTGCCTGAAATGGGAACAGTTATTTCTAAAAGGCAGCCAGAGTTTAAAGGACTCTAGTCAGAGACAAGGTGGATGTCTTCCTGTAGAGCCAGCTGCTCTGGACTGGGAAGGAGCCGAATGCCCTGGGTCTTTTTCCTGGGCCTCAGACTCCCCTTCTGCCCATCACTGTCCCAGTACAGGGCAGGAGCCTTGATTCAGGCATTCTGACCTCTCTGAACTTCCCAAGGCTGCGGATGGACAGGTAAAACGACTATCTACTGCCAGCCCCAAATGGCATTTTGGCCAGTTGTGCTCACTGCCCAGCCAAGACAGATTTCATAACCTGATAACAAAGATCGTGTCTATCATGTCATGGTTTTTAAAAATACTCACTTCATGCACATTTCTCTATCTTAATCCAAGGTATTCTTCAGCGGAAATAAGGAAACAGTTTACTCTTCCACCAAACCTTGGCCAGTACCATCGACAGAGCATAAGCACCTCTGGCTTCCCCTCACTTCAACTAGTAAGTATGAGTTACAGGTTTGCTTAGCAGACAGTCAAGGGCAGAGCGCCCAGTGTACCCATTTGCTGCCTGATTCTCCTTAGATCTATGCACTGCCACCATATGGTCTCCAACCACCAGTTCCCACCCGGGCGCCTGCTTTGACATCACACAATACCTTCTTCTCCTTCTACCAACCAGGGTTTAGAGGGTAAATATACCTCCCTGAGCTGTGCCTCTAATGTCTTGGGTTACCATGTTACTGTACAGTGTCACCCCGATTGGTTCATATGTGGGGGAGAAAGCCTTGCCTGAAAACTTAAAACCATTTGTAACCTACTTTTATAGATTTCAAATCAGAAAAGCCAGATTACAAATCTTGGCTTTATAAATCATTTTCTTGGACATATAATTTATATACAATAACATGCGTCCATCTTAGGTGTACAATTTGATAAAATTTGGGCAATTCATTATAATTTAGCCTCTACTCAATCTGAACATAGATCACTATCTTTATCCTAAAAAGTTCCATCATGACCATATGTTCATCTCATGGGTTCATCTCATCCAAGCCCCAAGCATCAGCCCAGGTAGATAGTGTTCCCCTTCTGTTGTCATTTTGCTCTGCCTGGAATTTCATGTAATTGGAATTGTATCATACGTATAAACCTTTATTATTAAAACACGCTCCCTATTTTAAGTTAAAAAATTGCTCTATTTTTATACTAGCATCACTTGTTAAGTATACACAGATGCGTTTTTAATATTTGAGGACTAAACGGCAGACCTGTGCCAAGTAAGAGGAGTCTGTCTCAGATGTGATGGTTGGTAAAACCAGAAGTGAGCATTCACTTCCTCCGGCACTCACTTCCTCACTCACAGCACAGCAGCACTTTCTGGCTTGTTCTAGTGGTTATCTTGAGGAGGTTAGGTTATTTTTTGTTTCTACTTATTACTTCAAAACCACTTCTGCTCTTAGAAATTTTGTAACCTTCTACTTGGTTTCCTGTAGTCGCCATTTTGTCTCCTGTAACAATTTACACGCCGTGTTACTGTGTATCTTTTCAAGGTATGTTTTACCGGAGTGATTTATGGTTATTTCCGAAAGATAATTTGTGTTTGGTCTCATTAATGAAATAGGAGTACTAAAAACTGTATAGCACCTTTTTTTTGCGAGAGATAACTTAGGATGACTTTTTTTTTTTTAAACAAATCTGTTTATGACTTCAGTGGCTTGCTAGGCTGCCCTTTTTAATTGTACATTTCTTGTTTCCAAATTGCAGATTACAATAAAAGCATATCAGATGCACAATATCCATGTGTTCAGATATATTAGATGAGTTTTAAATCAAGATAAATGATGTTTCTTGGTTTCATTTGGTACTAATATGTATTTAATGGAAACCTACAAGTTTATTTTTGAAATGTCAGGCTCAAGTTGTATTCCAAAATGTGCAAAATTCAGTTACACAGTGACCGGATGTGTGTCTACATTTTCAACAAGGTGGGAGGTTTGGCGCTTTGCTTTTTTCTAAATGAAAACTGCAGCTTTCTGCGGTGTCTGTCTTGGGAAACAGTGTGGACATCACTAGTAAGAGACTTTAAGGAAGTTTTAGCTAACGGGCTTTAACCCCTTCACTTCACACCAGCTTCATTTTTAATGCAGCATCATTAAATATTTTCAGGAGGAATTCTTTATAAAGGTATAAAGGAAAAAAAAAAAACACCAGCTTCATGTTTGCTAGTGTTCTTCTGGTTGTTTGCTGCTGCTGAGTGGGTATGGATGAGAGTGTTCTTCTGGTTGTTTGCTGCTCCTGAGTGGGTATGGATGAGAGTGTTCTTCTGGTTGTCTGCTGCTCCTGAGTGGGTATGGATGAGAGTATTCTTCTGGTTGTTTGCTGCTCCTGAGTGGGTATGGATGAGAGTGGATTTTGGTGAATGATTTCATTTGCTGGAAGTCAAGGTAACATGTGGCTGAGCTTCCCGTTTTCTAAGAGAAGATAATTGAGAAAGTAGGAAAAATGGTCAGCTACACAAGACGCACATGTTCCTACCTGCCATCATTTTGGCTGTATATGCACGTGAATATCCTTTAAAACTTAGTGCTCCCAGTTATTCCCGTTTCGTTTTCTGAAATTTTTCCAAACTCTCAGCTCTCCCCTGTTCCTTCTAGCTGAAAGTTGAGCTATGAGCGCCATGAGGCCCAAATTATTTTCTCTTTTCTCTGATTTTTTTTCCTTTCTTTTCTTGACCCTCCCCCCCCCCATTCTTCTCTTTTGTAAATGAATGATCTCCTCAGAAACTTCCAGTCTCCCGATTGTTTACCTTTACCCTCTGCCATGTGGTGATGTCAGACTAAGGTGGCTCTTCTCCCTCTGGAGTCGTCTTTCCCAATAAAGATTCTGAAAGAAAAAAAAAATCAACTTGCATTTTGATTTCCTTTTACCTTAAAAAAATTACTCTTTCACAGAAAGAGACTGGAATACCGTAGCCAAGATTAATTTCTAGCAAGGTAAAGGGTAGTTTATTATCTAACAATCCTCAACCTTAAAGAGCTTTAGAAAACTTTTCTTTTTTTAGATTTCTGCTAGAGGGCGGCGTGCACTTGCCAGAAAGACACAGAGAGGGGAAAAGTGAGATATTATCCCCCAGGGGGTGGGGAGATGGCCATGCCACAATCCCTTCTCCACTCTCATCTCAGGGTTTGGGGCATGCAGGCACGTGCGCCCAGTGCGATGCTCAAGCTGCCAGGTCCGGCACGGGAACCATGGTCTGCCATGTGGGAGTCAGCTTTTCTTAAATGAGTGACGCTAAGACCGTTCATTGTACTACTTTTGCCAATTAAAAAGTAAGACTTGGCACATTTTGACTTTTCTCTTACCTTTAATTTATATAACTGTTATTTCAATTATCCCACACGCTGATACAAATTGTTGTTTCATTCCAAAAAGTATTTGATTGAAGGCAAGTTATTTAAAACCCAATTAATTACTTGTTTGTTATTTTTGTTGCTGTTTTGCAAGAGGGAAGAACGTGAAGTCAGATGTACCTGGAGAGAAGTGTAATTACCACCTCTTAGTTATACAATTGGTGAAAAGTTACTTAAGCTCTCCAAAGGCTTCTGGTTCCTTATTTTCAGAAATAGTATGCTGTCCTCCTAGTGTTCATAGGTAATTATTTAATATCCTGAGTGCATAGTGGCTAATATTGGTGGGTTTTTATTTGGGGGTGGGGGGGTTGCACTGTGGAGACACTGTGGGAATTAAAAGAAAATGAATAGGAGATAGTTTGGGTTCTGAAGGGCTTTATGATCTGTTTTTTTGTTTTTTGTTTTTTGGGTTTTTTTAGATGTTTTTGCTATAGGGTGTGTGCACTCGCCAGACACAGAAAGAAACAGAGAGATAGAAAGCAAGAAATCGCCCCCCACGGGAGATGGCCACACCATAATCCCTTCTCCTCCGTTCTCCTCTCAGGATCTTGAGCACTCCTGCACGCACATGCGCCCGGGTCCGGGACGTGAACCGCAGTCGACTATGTGGGAATCCACTATTACACTAACTGCTGGTCCCTATGATCTGTTTGAGAGGAAAATATAGCGGTTATACTGGCTTAAAAGTGATGTTCCAAAGACAAAAAGATACATGTTGCAATAGGAGGTAAATGCTAATAGAGAAGCCTTGGAGGAAGTCTCAGCCCTTCATTACTTCAGAATAACCCAGAGATCTTCAGAAATATACCCGGGACGTGGAACCAGCAGTTAGCGTAATGGCTATGTCACTAGATTCCCATGTAGTTGACCGTGGTTTGCGTCCCGGACCCGGTGGCTTAGAACTCACGCCGGGCATGTGTGCGTGCGTGCCCAAGATCCCGAGAGGAGAATGGAGGAGAAGAGATTGCGGCATGGCCATCCCCCCGGGGGGTGATTTCTCGCTTTCTGTCTCTCTGTCTCTCTCTATCTGTCTGGCGAGCGCACGCGCTCTATAGCGAAAACCTCTCCAAAAAGAAAAAAAGAGAAAGAAATATACTATATCCAGGGCTACTGCCGAATAGCAGTATTCCTGGGGATGGCGGACCAAGCATCAATATTTTAAAATTTGGGCCAGCCAGTGGCATGGTGGTTAAGACAGCAGGATCCCACATAGTCACCTGCATAGTTTAAATCCTGGACTTGGTGGCTTAAAAAGCATGCTGGGTGCATATGCGTGAGTGCCCAAAATCCCAAGAGGAGAATGGAGGAAAAGGGATTGCAGGGTGGCCAACCCTGCTGGGGTTTGCTTTCTCACTTTCCCTCTCGTTCTCGCTTTCTCTCTCTCTCTCTCCAGGAAGTGCATGTGCCCTCTGGCAAAATCAAAACAGCAACAGTAGAAAAAAGGTAAAAATTCTTGGGGCCATTTATATGTAGCCCAGGTGGAGAATCACTTAAAGAACTTATGGGGCCAGCAGGTGGCATGATGGTTAGGTGTTGGACTCCCACATGGCCAACTACAGTTCAGGCCCAAGAGCTAGTGACTTGAAAGTCATACTGTGTGTGTGTGTGTGTGTGTGTGTGTGTGTGTGTGTGAGTGTGTGTGGAGAATGGAGGAGAGAGGATTGAGGCATGGCCATCCCTCTTGGGGGATGATTTCTCACTTTCCCTCTTTGAGTTTCTGTCTCCTGCAAGCCCGTTTGCCCTATGGCAATAACCTAAAAAAAAAAAAAAAAAAAAAAGAACTTACAGAGGTAGAAATGTAGAAATATTCCAAATAGGAAGGAGGATGTAAAGAAAGGCAGTTTTTTGTTGTCCCTTGTGCCCTGAGTTGTGGAATGCGTGGTAAGCAAGGACCTGCTCACCCTATAGATATGAAGGGTCTTCAGAAAGTGTGTGGAAGATGGGAGCCAGTTGGTGGCAGTAGTAAAGTCACCAGATCCAGCAAGAGGGGCCCTGACTCGTGTCCTAGGACCTCTGTGACACACCAGGCATGCATGTCTGTGATTCTGGCTGGCCGTGAGTTGTGACGGTGGAACCCTGTTGGCGTGCCTGTCTTTCTCTCTCTCTCTCATGGTAGAAATAAACTTTTTAAAAGTTCATGAAAAATGTCTATTATGAAAAATCCAGGCATGGATTTCAAATTATTTTTGCCACCAAAATAAACTTGTATTTTAATTCCATTTTTCCATGAACTTCTGAAGACCTCTCTTATATCTTTGTCTAAATATAATAGCTCTTGTCAGAAATCTGATAGTCAAAGGAGAGCAAGGGGGCGTGTTCAGTGTTTTTTATTTCTGTCCATTTGGTTTCGGTTTTTGAACTCTAATTGCAAATGTGAACCGTGATGAATGTGGGTATGTACATTTTCAGAGTACATGAAATATTTTTAAATTTTGCATTTTTGAATATGAAGAGGCTCCAGCATTTAGAATTAGTGTTCAAGACATGGCGATAGACTTGCCCTGGGTCTATTTGACATTCTCACCGGAGAAAGAGTGGCGCTGGCTGGCAAATACCCCTGTGTGTAGAGTTGCCTGTTGGCCTTGGCATTCTCCGTTGCCAAAGCCATGGGAGCAGGTTGGCCAGTGGCACTGAGAGTCCAGCCACCTAGGTAGGCAAACAGCTTTGTACCTGATGATCAAAAGTAAAAGAGGGGCTGGTAGGTGGCATGATGGTTAAAGGTTTTGGATTCTCATATGGCTGACCATGGTTCGAGTCCTGGACCTGGTGACTTGCTCTCTCACTTTCCCTTTTTCTCTCTCTCTCTCTGGTCAAATTAAAAAATAATAATAACAATTGGAATTAAATAAATACTTTTTTTTAAAGGAAAGTAACTAAAAGGGGAGTTAGACAAGGGAGAGTCAGAATCTGTGTAGTAAGATCCTAAGGAGAATTTGAGACACTGTATATGTGGTTAATAACCTTAAGCTACATTTCATGTAGAGAAAAATCTTATTTTTAAACATGAGACAAGTTTTAAAATGAAATGGAATGAATCAACTAGACAATAATGGCAGTAGCTGAAGAAAAGGATGTAAAAAGCCACATCCTGAATGTGTAACAAAACACCATGGTTACATGACATGTTTGTATATGTAACATTTTGTTATTATCTTTTTAAAAGAAGTCTCACACCTTAGAAGGCATTTAATTTTGTTATGTGTACAGGCTTCAGTGCAGTCAAGCAACCTTTCTCTTTCACAACCAAGGATGACTTCAGTGGTAAGTAAGCTGATAAACGTGGTCTTTTCATTCTGATCATTCTGTTACTCTCGTACTTTGTCTTTCAAGGCCTGGGGTCTCAGTATAGTTTTCTGTAAATTCACAACGGAGGGTAAGATGTAAGAGTGGCCTTATTGTCATTGTAGCAGGGGAATCAAGTCGGTCGAGGGGTGTGATGACATGTTGGCACTTTCCACTCCGTGGCACCACTGGGAGATGACTGCTGCTGGAGGGGGGAAAGCGTCCAAGTTAGGCTCTGCAGCACCTTGGAATCACTGAAGCCAGAACCTTACTGCCTTCCGTTCTGTTTACTTAAAGATGGTAGCAAGGCAAGACGACTGTTTTAATCATGCTCGAATGAACGAATGCGTCTTCATTGGGCCTCCCTCTGCGGCAGGAACTACTGCAGGAGCCGAGGCTGCCGTAGTGAATATAGCACATGGCCTGTCCCCATGGAGCTTGCATTTTAGAGGAAGAGACAGGCGTACAAGGACGAGCAGACTGTGTTGGAGGGCACTAGGACTTGGACGAATGAAACCGGGGATGGGAGTAGTGACACAGAAGAGATGTTATTTTAGATCGGGTGGTCCGTAACGGCTTCGATCTCTTCAGGTGTCGGAAAAAGTCATGTCACTTTTTTTGCATAGAAAAAATACCGCATGACTTTTCTGACTACCCAGTGGAAAGAGATGCTCAGGCAGAAAATTGTTAATGAATTTGACAGATATTCAAAGGGAGAGTATTCTAGTCTTAAGGAACAACAGTGCAAAGTCCAGTCCCCAAGGTCGGAGTGGGTGGCATGCTCCAGAAACGGCAGGGAAGCCAAGTGTGACCCGAGAGACTGGGCAGCAGGAGATAAGGTCATAGAGAGGGCAGGGCTGGGTCCAGGCCTCACAGACCTTGGGAGAACATTGTCTTGTATACTGAGAGAGGAAGCAACTGAAGCATTGAGCACAGGCCCAGTATATCTGACTTTTTATAGATTGCTTATAGAGTTCTTTTCATGAGGATCTCTGTGGCCGCTTCATGGAAAGTAGCGGTAGGGACAGCAGTTGGGAAAATGTCACTGTAACTCAGGAAAGCTTTGGCATAGGGTGGTGGCCATCGAGAAGGTGGATTGAGAATCCATTTCCAAAGCCAAATGGACAGGATTTTATGATGGATTATAAGTAGAGTATAAGACAAAAATATCAACACTGACTCCAAAGTTTT